CGTCGTTCTCTGCTAAGAACTAGCATAACCTTCTTCGTGCCAGTTGATATCAATCTTCGGTCTCGACCACACCCTGAAGAGACTTCAGGGTGTGTTTGATGATAGACAATGATAGATATGCTTTCTATCTGGTGACGTCATAGGAGGTGGGCGTGGCTTAGATTTGAGAAGAAACAATTTCAGATCATTCCATATGCAGTTCTAAGGCAGTTGCTTGAATTTTGTGTTTATTATTTATGATGCGTAAGAGAAGTCAGGGATTGTCCCTGTTCGTGTACTTGCTGAAGTAATCCGAAACGTTTCAGTATCTACTGTGGATGTTTATTACTAGTCTATCTTGATACCGATGTTATACAGATACACAAATACATGCATAGCCATCTATTCATCTTTCATATTCCTATCTGTTTGTTTGATTGTGTGTGTGTGCGTATGTGTGTTTGTGTGTGTGTATGCATGCATGAAAGCGTCTGTTTCTTACGCACATATTTGTAAGCACTTGAAGATGTAGAAATGTATAATAAGTTATAATAATAAGTAATTAAATATATCCTCTTGTAGTTTTACTTTCCAATGTGAAAATGTTTTCCTCGGTATTATAGTGGTTAGTATCCCCGCCTGTCACGCGGGAGACCGGGGTTCGATTCCCCGCCGGGGAGGAAGCTTTTCCAATCTTAGACGAAGGCTTAAGCTATATTCAGGTTAGTAAACAGAGATCATCTCGTGGAAAACTTGAGTCAGGTAGGAAAAACAAAACCAAAAAAAAGGTCTTGCCATCAAGGGCTGTTATAGAGTTAAGGTGCTCTTTGTTTTCTAAAGTGAATTATATGTAACTATATAATGAATGTTTGTATTTTTGTTTATTCTAGGCTTTTCTACATAAAATTACCACTGTATTATTCTAAACTATTTGTAAGCAGGGCCATGACAAAAGTACTGAAACGTAATAAAACATTATGGATGCGATTCTTACTAGATTCTGGTGCCCCTTCCCCTCACGTCTTGATTTGTCCTTTGCTTCTACCAGTCGTATTTGAGAATAAAGGACAGTTAAGGTTATTAATAACACCTGCATATATCAAATAACTATTTACTAGCTGACATTCATTTCATAATCATTTTCCTTAATTAAGATGTACGTTTTTTTTTTAAGAAATATCGAAAAATTGAGGAAATGGTTTTCTCGCGACATACATTTCCTCTCTCACGGGTATATAGAGGCGCCTGGTCTGCGAACCAGCATCACTTCTTGCAGTCTCCAATAGAATTACATCAATCCTATCAACATGAAGGCAGTAAGTCTGTGTATTCTGAGCATTCTGTCTCCATGTCAAACGTCATGAGGTATTAGTAAGTAGTAGAATAGTAGGAAGGTCAATAATACTCACATACATGAACGTTCCAGCTGATTCTGTCCTTGATGGTGGTTGTGGCTGTGGCTTTTCTACATAAAATTACCACTGTATTATTCTAAACTATTTGTAAGCAGGGCCATGACAAAAGTACTGAAACGTTTGTAATAAAGCATTATGGATGCGATTCTTACTAGATTCTGGTGCCCCTTCCCCTCACGTCTTGATTTGTCCTTTGCTTCTACCAGTCGTATTTGAGAATAAAGGACAATTAAGGTTATTTATATCACCTGCATATAACTATTTACTAGCTGACATTCATTTCATAATCATTTTCCTTAATTTGGATGTTCGTTTGTTGTTGTTTTAAGAAAATTGATGACCATCTAAAAGTCTTCCCCGTGCATTTACAGACATGTATTATCATCTACATTTATATATATATATATATATATATATATATATATATATATATATATCATATACATATATATACGAGTATACTCACTGTTTACACATACTCAGTGTTCAGAGAGAAATGGTTTTCTCGCGACATACATTTCCTCTCTCACGGGTATATAGAGACGCCTGGTCTGCGAACCAGCATCACTTCTTGCAGTCTCCACTAGAAGTATATCAATCCTATCAACATGAAGGCAGTAAGTCTGTGTATTCTGAGCATTCTGTCTCCATGTCAAACGTCATGAGGTATTAGTAAGTAGTAGTAGAATAGTAGGAAGGTCAATAATACTCACATATATGAACGTTCCAGCTGATTCTGTCCTTGATGGTGGTTGTGGCTGTGGCTGAGAGACTGTCCCTCTCCTACGACGCCCCTGCACCACACGCATCCTCGCCCCTCCAGCAGATCCCCATCATCCGCGACGAGCGAGTCCATCCTGCCGCTGACGGCACCTACAGCTTTGACGTGGAGACTGGGGTTGGCATCGTCAGGCACGAGTCTGGCGGTCCAGGTGGCGTCCAGCAGGGAACCGTGAGGTTAGTTCATTCACTCCAAAAATTTACACTGAAAAAGAAAAATGTGTAAGCCTGCTTCGTATACACAAGGCCTTTAAACGACAATGAATGTAAAAGTCGTCTGTGTGTGTGCGTGTGTGTAAATATGAATATATATATATATATATATA